GTGGGGTTGGGGATGCCTGTGTGTGTCTATGGGGTGGGTGCATGTACCTGTTCCGCATGACATGGGTGCAGGGCTGTGATGTGCGGGAGGGGAGGATGGCAGCGCGCAGACCTACGCGTGAAAACGCAGATTGGTTTGGAGGGAATTTGCCCATTTGCTTGTAAAGCACATACTTATTGGAGTTTAAATATATTTTCAAGTAACCTGGAAAGCTCAAGCAGAAGAGGAATGCGGGCTTTACACTTAACTGTAGATTTTTTCCATTCAATTGCAAAAAGGCTGCTACGTTGGTGGGGGGCTTGCTTCCCTCCCCGCTTGTTTGCTAGAACTGTTTCTGTCGGGCTTCTTTGAAAAGGGGAGGATGTGGTGTTATGAAGAAGCTGAAATGAATAACGTAACATTCAACACGAACAATACTGGCAGTGCCAGTGAGAGCTTTCCAAAACCCGTAACATTTTCCAGCTGCTCACTCTTAAAACATCAGGCTGGAGCTATAAAACTGCTAGCCACAGGTAGGTGAGAAAAAAAGGGGTTTCTAGAAGGAGAGTGAGCCAGCACCACCTTAACCCAAGTAGTCACAGGTAGGTAGTGTTTATTAGTAGTGGCTAGTAGATCTGCATGTGTTGGCTACTAGCTTGCTTACAGAGGGGGTTAGCAGTGTGTTTGTAAGCAGATCTTGGATTTATAGATAGACAGTGATTCTAAATTTCCACACGCACATGCACACATGATCTCCCTTCCCTCCAGCTAAAAGTGGCTGGCCTTCACTCTTGCGTGGCCCGTGCACAGAAACATATCTCACTTTTGGAGGAGTGAGGAGCAGTGCGGATCCCTGCGCTGCTCTGAGCCTGGCAGCTTCTCGCTGGGGCAGAGCCACTTGCGTCCGGGCCGGTCGCTGCCGGGAGCTGTGGTGCCCACCCCAGGGGAGCAAAGAGAGCCCTTGGCGAGGGGCTGGGGTGGAGATGCTGGTGCTGCTCCTGGGGGGAGCAAGGGGGATGCGCTGGGGGTGTGGGGTCAAGGGGTCCCTGCTGGGAGGGAGCAGGGAGAGTCAGGGTATCAGAGGGAGGATGAGCCTACTTGCACCTTGCTGCTTCACCAAGGAAGAAGCTTCTGCCCCACGTGGGCTGTTGGAGGTGGAGGAGCCTGCTCGGGGCCTCTGAAGGAGGGCACTGGGGGCTTGTGGTGGGTCTTGGCATGGGAGGGGGATGTACTTTGTCTTCATGTGTTTGCCATCAGTGCTTGTCCCTCCTTCACCCATCTTTCCCCACTCGGGGAGCCAGAGCCCCACTGCTCTGTCACCAGAGGGTGACAGTGGGATGTCTGGAGGGGGGGGGGGCTGTGCACACACTCACATGCACACACATTCACTCCCCCAAACAGGAGACACCGCAGTCCTTCTTCCCAAACCCTTCTGCTCCATCGTGACTGTCCCAGTCCCTTCCCTCACCTCCACTTGACAGAGGTGTCTCAATGCCATCCGGACCATCATCATGCCAAGCCCGTTTCTTGTTTCTCCCGTCAGCCCCGAGGCTGCTCTCCGCAGGCCATGCGATGGCGATGCCGGGGGACCATGACTGATTCTCAGCCTGTGGCCAGGCAGCCGAGCCACAGCGACCCCAGCTCGCACCGGGAGAGCTGGGTTCTCCCGCTTCACTGAACACCTCGCAGCACCTGCAGCTCATGCTGGCCCATCTGCTCCATCCCGCTGACCCTCCGTCTCTGCCTCAGCTCCATGCTGTGTGCCTGTGCCCTCTTCTCCTCCCACTCTGCCATCTGCCACATCCCTGCGCCCTTAATCCCTGCCTCACCGCACATCCCTGCTGTCTCTGCCCCTGTGGACCAAGTCCCATCTGCTCCTGCTGGCAGCCCTGCCTTCAGCTGGAACAGCCTTGGCCTCCATCTGTCCAAGCAGTGCTCCCGCATCCTTCCCACACAGCCTTCCTCCCAGCCACCTCATCCTCAGCACCTGGGCTTGCTGCCTGGCTCAGGAGAGGGTCTGTTCCCGCAGCTGGCTGGTACCCTGTGGCACCCAGCTGCAGGTGCGATGGCAGGAGGAAAGAGGCTTCACTCCTTGCACTGCCCATCCAAGGGATCTAAAGAGGTTTCCAGCCCCTGTCCAGCTCAGGACCTGCGTCCTGTCCCTGCCTCCACGGTGGAGGGACCTGTGATACGCAACCCTGCAAAGCGGCCAGCCTGCATCTCCTCTCCCTCTGCTGACTTAGCATCACACTTGGTCCAGGTGTGACAGTACCCACAGCAACGTCCAAAGGCTTTTGGGGTGGCCCCAGTGTTGGCAGCACTCCAGGAGCTGCAGGAGGATGGACCATCCCTGCCAGATGCTGCTGGAGCTATTTCTGGGATGCTGTTCCCATAACTGCCGTTGCTGGTGGGATTCTGCTTGTGCCCCCAGCCCATCTCGGCACCCAGGTCACGCTGTGCTGAGCACAGCCCAGCTCCAGGGCTGAGGCTTCAGGTGACCGCAGCCACGCTCAGCACCCAACCCAGCCTCCTGCAGTGCAGTGGCACCACAAATCTGCTTGGAGGGGTTCTGGGTTTCTTGCAGACAGTGAAATTGCTAGCGAAAAATCAGAAGGCAAGGGTGCACAGCCTGTGTCCAGCACCGAGACTGGTTGCTCAGGCAGGGCTCAACTGCGGAGTGACCGCAGCTGGGGGGGAGGACGGGCAGCCACCAGCTCGGAGTGACACTGTGGGCCAGGCACTGCCTGAGGCTGAGCGGAGAGCCCAGCACAGCCGAGGTGAGCAGAGCTGTGTTGAGGGTGCAGGGGTTTAGCTGCACCCCCTTAACCCAGGGGAGAGATGCCTGGACCAAGGAAAAGGCTCCTCATTGCTGGGGGCGGCACCCTGGCACCCGGAGGGCAGCTAGCGGGGCTGGCAGGGCTGGGCTGCGCTGGTTCCCATGGAGGCCCCTGGAGCTGGTTGGGTGAAGGCAGGTGAAAGCAGGGTGCCTGGGGACACCCAGGAGCAGGAGCTGATTCACCCAGGCTGGCCACACCAGGAGCGCCTGCCTGGCCCTTGCCTGTGCACCCAGCAACCAGGCTGGGCACGGGGGGACTTTGCTCTGTCCCCACTCCCTGCATGCCCCCAGGTCCCACTGCTGTCCCTGTCCCAAGTGGGTGGGCAATGCCCCCTCCCCAGCAGCTGTGCAGGCTGGGGGGTCCCTCCAGCTGCCGGCCCCCCCCGAGACCTCGCCGGCAGCGTTAGGCAGGGCAGGCAGACCTGCCTGGGGATGGGTTGAGTAGCCGGGATGCTGCTATCTGCTGGGGTGGGGGTGACAGTCCAGGGCAGGGGGTGATGTCTCGCTGTGCTTCCCCCTAGGAGCTACTGTGCCTATGTGGTGCAGCGCAACGTGACGTGCACGCTGCAGGACGGGGCCGAGAGCTACGTCAAAGCCGAGTACCACAAGTGCAGCTGGGGACCCAAGTGCCCGGGGAAAGTGCTGTGAGTACAGGGGATGCTGGGGCACGGTTCCCTTCCCCTCCCAGCTTCAGGTCGCAGCTCTCCTTGGGCTCCCGAGTCCCCACGCCATCCTTCCGACCATCAACCCCCATTTTCCAGAGGGCAGTGAAGGGCTGAAGGGCTTTTGCGGGACGAGGCAGTCAGTGGCAGGGCAGCGATGCTGGGAGGAGGCAAGATGGGATCTGTCAGGAGGGAGAGGGAGCTCTCTCCCTCATCAGAAATGAATCAGGAAATCATGGGAAGTGGAGAGGGGGGGATGCGTATCCATGTGCGCAGGGAAGCGTTTTGTTAAAGACCTGCAGTTTGGCAGAGAGATGGCAGCTAGGTGGGAGCCTCACCAAGAGGAGGAGGGAATGGAGCCCGTGGCTGGGGATGGCTGAGGGCTTCCTGCCCCAGGGAAATATTTGCAAAAGTCTCTGCCAGTGCTGGAGGGAAACACCCCGTTGTGCCACAGCCGGAGCTGCAGCCGGGGCAGGGTGGACACTGGGGCTTTGTGCTTTGCCGCGCTCCGCAGCCCCTGGCCGGGGATGCTGCTCCGTGCAGAAATGCTGCACTCCTGCATCCTCCCTGGACCCGCCGAGAGCAGCAGAGCTGAGCACCGAGGAAAACCGGGCTGAGAGGGGCTTTCATCGGAACCTGGCACCCCTCCTGCAGCACTGGCACACGGCGCTGCAGCCAGCTGGGACTCGCCATGTGCCGGCGGTGCCGCAGGCGCCGGCCGCGGCAGAGAGGGCTGTTGGACCTGCTCACTGACTCGCTCTTTCCTTGCTCCCATTGCAAGTGCTTTAGTAGCATTTGCAAACTTCAGGACATCTTGCAGCTGCTGGTACCCGTGGAAGAGACCCCCAAAGCCTCTCCCATCTCTGCCGTGCCCGCTGCTTGGCCCCTCCAGCCCTTCGAACAAAACCAGGGCAAACCCAGGGTGTTTTCTGAAAGCGGCTGGACCTGCTGCTAGACTTTTGCACAGCCCCGGATGCTGCGTCCGTGCACGAGAGGGAAACTTTTTTTTTCCACATGCTGGGGCCATCAGCTAATGTTTGTGCAGCTGCAATAAATGCTTCGCCTTGCTGCTGTTTGGAGCAGGGAAAGAAAGGTTTGGAGGTGAAGGGCTCCAGGCTCCTCTGCAGAGGCTGGTGTGATGCAGAGAAGGTGCCTTGTCTTCTGGATGCCATCTTCATCCTCACTTCACCCCCTGACAGTGGCTGAGCACAACAGTCTCCTGCCATTGTACATCTGGGCAGGTTTCTACACACTAAGAAGGAAAGACCGTAGAAACTTGGCAGCATCTGTGAAGAGGAATAACAAAAAGAAGAGCTTGTTTTGAAACTGTCCCGTGCCTTTGGGAAATTGTTGATATTGAGAAATTTTGAAGCGATTCAAAGGACAGAGGATTTGGGTTTGCTTTCTCCTCCTGCCCTGTGGTACGTACAGAGGCGGCTGTATCGCACTGGGAGTCACGTGGAAGTGGCATTGCCCGGGGGATGCAGCCTGGGCCGGGGGCACTGAGGAGGGGTCAGGGACAGGGAGGACAGGACTCAGCCCCATGTGCTGCACCGAGTGACTGGATAAGTGCGAGTGCCTTACGCAGCCCCTCTGTGCAGCACGGACGGTTGTGCTGCCTCCTCCGAGACCTTCTGCTGAGTGTGCTGGAGAAGAACAAGGGCCCGATTGTGCGTGTTGTTGCAAAACAGCAAACTTCAGGATTTTCAGGCCCTGGTAAATTCAGATTGGAAATTTCCAAAAGGCAGGTTCAAAGCATTTGGCATTTCAGAGGTGGTGAGGAACACCCTGTCTTCAGCCCTGCGCAGCTCAGCTCAGCTGGCGGGGGGAGCGGGGGTGCTGGCAGGGTCCTGTCCCATCCCTGCCACCTCCCAGGAAAGTGCCATGGAAGAGCTGGGAGCAGCTGAGTCCTCCTTGCTGGGCTGGTGGGACCCCACTTAGAGCGAGAGCAGAGACGGAGGGTGTCAGTGTCCCACCGGGCAAGGAGGTGGGCTCCCACCCTTGTTTGCTGTGTACAGGGGGGGATCTATGTTGTAATGCCCAAACTGGTGATGGAGAAACCTCCCAGGCCATCCCAGTTGGGGGCAGAGGGAGGTGTAAGGACCCATCCCTCTGTGCACACCCCATGGCATCGTCCCCGGTAAACCTCGCCAGGGCTCTGCTGCCCCGCTGCCAAAGCTCTCGCCTGCAAGGCCAGCCCAAGCCACATAGGCTTCCCATCAAACTGATGCCCTCCACACACGGAGAAAATACCTTTCCAAAGGCACTTCAACCCTCCTGGAAGCTTCAGGACAGGACTAGAATTGAGAAGAGGGTTTTTTACCCCACTAGGAAAGTCTTTAGGTGAATTCAAAGTGCAAAACCCACCCACAAGCAGCCCAGCCCCCTCCTGGAAGTGATCCGAGCTTGTGGGGGTTTTGGAATCACTTTCATCATTTCACCTCATGCTCCCCCAGACCAAAAGTTGCCAAACTGTGTGGCATCTGTCACAGTGGTTGTCTATCAAGCCAGAGACCACAGATGCTACACTTAGAGCTGCTTTTCTAAACTAACATCAGGAGTCCCAGGTTAAAAAAACCAAATCCAACAAACAAACAAAAACCTCTCCAGAAACCACAGACAGATAAATAACTGCTCTGCTCAGATAGACCCTCCTCATCCCCAGGCTATTCTCAGGCTTCTCTAGTTGTGTTACCAACTTGTTGGGGAGAACTCTACTCTTACCGTGTGCTGTCACACCTGCACCTCATGGTCCAGTCCTGGGGAGGGTGGGCACGTGTTTTTGGAGTGCTGGTTAATGAGCTGTGTCCCTGATGGACACTGCTAATGCTACACCGAGCTATGGTGCAGCAAGAGCTCTTGGAGGAGGTGGGTCATGGTCTGCAGGGGCAGCACACAGGTCTCAGCCAGGCTTTCCCGTGTGCCCAGCTTTCCCACATCCAACAGCACCCATGGCCCCGCTCTTCTCTATTGCTTACGCTGAGGTTGCTTCTCTAAACTGTCTTCTCTCTTCCTCCCCTCTCCTGGAAAGGTACCGCACCTTCTTCAGACCCAAATACAAGATTGGCTACAAGACAGTGACCGAGCTAGCCTGGAGGTGCTGCCCGGGCTTCATGGGAGAAGGGTGCCACGACAGCCCGACTGACCAACCCGGCCTCCTGCCCCAACATCCCAGCCCTAAAATGCCTCCTGGGCAAAAGATGTTTCCAATCCCCAGACTTCCTCCCCATCCAAAAAGCCACCCTGACCTGTTTCCAGGACCAAAGAAGAATCAGTATGGTGAGATCTCGCTCCTGCTTCACATCCCCAGGTTACCATACCACGAGCACGCTCTCAAAGCTCTCTGTTCTTTCTGTTCCAGCACAGGGCATGAATTTGGCAAACCTGCAGAGCGTGACCTGCTTTCTGATCAGAGACATGACATTTGATTGCTTTGAGGATCACTTGCTTTTTCAATACAGTTTCTTTCAAAACACGCTGCTTCAAAATTGCCTTTCCTCATTGCTTTTTTCCATTAATTTTGGGGCCAATAGAGTGTGTCTCAAGATGAAACTCCCCCGGGTTGTTCTCATCATCTGCTATTCAACTTGAGACCAGAGGGCTTGATCCCATGCAGTGAAAGAAAGAGGGTTTCCTGATCTGCTTAAGGACAGACGTTAGGGGAAAGGAGGGTGGGTGGGCTGATATTTGGCTGAAATGATGAGGGGGAGGCAGGAGCTAATGTTAGCATGGGAAGGACTCAAATCTAGAAGACAGCCAAGGAGGGATGTTAAAGGAGCACCAGCCCTGACTGT